TCAGAGACTTTGGAGAAAATCAATCTTCGCGTTTTTGAGAAATTGTATTCCAAACTTCAATCGCGATTTCCCACAACCTACCGAAATTAACATACGACAATCTTTTACCCAGGCGACGGTATGAGCAAATCCAAGTTATGGCAGCTAATGCCAGTTACGCGGTTTTGCAGAATGACGATACGCGGTTTTGTACTTTAAACGACGATATGTATTTTTAACAAAAAACTTCCATGAAAATTTTCGAAATTTAGAAATTTATACATAATAAATGTAATTAGCTTTATCTGATATTACACCTGTCTGGTTATCAGGTTATCTGGTTAAAAAATTTTATTTTCTAGTGTATTTTATTTACCGAGTTAAAAATATAACCACTCAACCTGATAACCAGACAGGTGAGAAATATTTTATTTTATGTTAAAATAATGAACTGCTGCTGCGTGACACTTAACACTTAAGATTTATGTACAAATCTTTAAATAAGATTAATTTTATTAGACGAAAAAATTTTAAAACCCAAAATTTTGAATATCGAAATAATTAAAATTCTATTGCTTTACTTTATTTTTATATATTTTTTCCTAGAGACATATACAAATTAGTTTAACAATACTTTTTACCACTTGCATGGTTGCATTTTGCCAAGCAAATTAACGCACTTATTCACCACACGCAATAAATATGGTGACATTTTTTTGTTGTACTTCCACCATTTTGCCTGCCTCAATATTCTTTTCCGGTTACCTAGATCTTTTCACTAGTCGACCTTTGCCCGGTGCGCATCGATGCTCGCAGTAAAGTTAAAATAATCTCATAGTAAGATGTGATTTAATAGAACAGAATAATTAATTTAACATACTACATATACATATGTATATATAGCAGCCGAAGGAGGCTTAATTAAAAGATATTCAACGTTGCTACTAAAAAATATACATTTGTAGCTTTCGAGTTGAAGGTAAGTGAATAAAGAAAATTATCGATTTATCAGAGCAAATGCTTGGCTGTATGAAATGAAATTTTTTAATGCATAATGAGGTTATACCGATTTTTATTTATTAATAAAAGTTGTTATGGTAGCTAAAGTTAGTTATTAGCGAAATACTTAAGCAAAAAAAAGCAAATGAGACGTGGAAAAATTTCAGCGCCGGCATATTAGCGTTTTACTAACCTCACTATTTCCGTCTAGTGCGTTTGTGTGTACGCTTATGGTTGGTATGCATGAACCAAAAATGTGTCTTTCGTTCATGGTAGGTAGGTAAGTGTGTATGTATGTATTTAGTAGACACTAGGTAGCAGACAGTCGGTCGCAGACAACAAAAACAGGATGCGTTTATTCTTTTATCTAATATCTACAAATTTGACTTTTAAAAATAGAAAAAGTAATAATTTTACAGATTTATTTGATGTCTACATAAATTACCTAAACGTTTTTTTTTAATGTCCGCGAGTTAACGAGTATGCATAGGCGTTGCAGAAATTTATGTACACTCGTGGCCACGAAAACCTTACCACAACTTTTCTTTTAATTTCGAGAAATTTTGTAAATTAATATCTTTTTTTTTAAATATAGTTCAAACTGCAAATAAAACTATGCAAATGAATGTTTCAAACTATGTTCAAAATTTTGAATAATTTATCAAATTTTCATCAATTTCAAACTTTTTTATAAAAGTTTGAGGAAAATTTCGGGTATGCAGTTTACTAGCGCATTTAATTTTAGTATACTAATATGCAAGTTTTGAAGTGACTCAAAATTCTCGGTGATTTTTAAATTATTTTTTTTCCGACGGTCTTGTGCAGTTTTCGTCATGTAACGAATGCTTTTATATGGACAAAATGCGCAACATCGTATGGAAAAAAATTGTGAAAAATCAATCAGAACTTTGAGCTACTGCAAACGGGCTCTTTATTGCATACCGGAAATTTTCCTAAACGTTTTTATTAAAAAGTTTGAAACTTTATATAGGGGTGTATCGTTGTTGTCGTACGAATCGAAAATTTGGACTTTTTGTATACAAAGTGAAAGAAAAATTTCATGATTTTCGATTCGAACGAAACCAAGAATACGCCTCTTAGTTTTTGTTGTGGCTTGAGCTATATTTAAGCATGTTTTTTATTAATATACAAAATGTTAAAAAAAATGGTGTACGGTTTGTGTGGCCACGAGTGTATGTACAAAAGTATAATATCGTGATGACAATTTCATACCCACTACTGAGCAAAAAATGCTGAAATTTTATACAACATGCACTACCATCTGAACAATTTTTTCCTAAATTGATATGTCAATTTTTTGCATATATATATTTACTTCGGTAAAACATATTTCAATTCGGTTTTTATTTTACAGATAAATATCGGCAGAGGAGGATTTTCTACCGTTGGAGTAAGGTAAATTAAATACTAATTAATTGTAACATTTAAGAGTACTTTTCTCATCAAAAATTTAAATGATGACGTTTTCATACCCAAAACTGAGCAAAAATGCTGAATTTTTTCTTAACATGCACTACCATCTGATAAATTTTTCTTAATATTTTTTTTTGTTTAGCCTAAATATTTTACGAAAACTAAAAATTATTTTTAAGCCTTATAAATTGTTTTTTATTTCAGAATAAACTTGCTATGGATATGAGAACTTTTTAATTGTCAGCGCAACTGTAATCCACTAATGCATTAACCCGCTTTTTACGGCCCAAAATGTTGCTGCGGAGTCTCAAATCGAACATATTAATTTTTTGCTTGTATTTTAATTGCTAAAAAGCGAGAATTGGTAGTGTTCGTAAATGTTAAATGTTTAAATTTTGGGTAGACTTGAAGATCGAATGATGAAAATTGTAATATTACAAATGTATTAGTAATAGAATTAAACAAATTGAATTGGATAAAGAAGGAAGACTGAAAAATGTGTAAGAAAATGGACTGAAAATGTTTTATTTTAATTTTTATTATAAAAAGTTGTGAAGTTACAAGAATAAGAATAAGAGAAGAATGAGGTGAAAGAAATTAATATAAAATATGAGTTAATTCATGAAATAAAAAATTAGTAACAATTCATAAAAATAAAAATCAATTTTAATAACAAAAATGGTCTTAGTTCTTTTGGTCCGAGTGAAATGCGTAAGTATTTGTTGAAAGGAGTTTATTTAATTATTATTTTTTACTTATAGAGATTTCTAAATCTAAATAGTTCTAGTGTAAACGAATCTCTTCTGCTTTTATGCACAATATTTTGTAACAGTAGTGTGTGTTGGCATAAATATATCAGAAAATAACGAAATAAACATATATCTATATTTAATACATATAAACATACGTATGCATGTATAATGGTTATCATAATTTTACGGCACTGACATATTGACAAGATTTGTCCATTTACCATAATATTTTTTAATTTAATTCTTTTTTTTATAAAAATATAGTGTGGTTGTTCACGCTGGCCTGGTTTTCAGGTTGGTATAGATAAAAAACTACTATGCCTACGACTATATTTTTCGAGCAATTGGACCAATCTTTCCTTCAGGGCGAATGCACCGCGTACACTACGATAAAATTTGGTACATGCATAACAATGGGTTAATTTCTTTGTTTACATTTTTTGACATTACAGTCATCAGAGACTTTGGAGAAAATCAATCTTCGCGTTTTTGAGAAATTGTA